AACTCTGTGCCAGTTCAAGGAATCAATTCATAAAAAGTTGTATTGGTGTCACACGATCAAAAATGTAATACTATGAAATAGCCAGAGCCGAAATACATGTAAATTTTCTTTCGCACAAAATAAAAAAATTAAAAACCAAACAAATATTATTAAATTCAAGTATAGTTCAAAACCACGTGCACAGAAAAGAATCGTTGCAAACGTATGAACATCACTTTACAATATTGCGCACCGGATTAAGATAATATGACATCAAAAACATTAAAACTTATAGACATAAACTGATTTCAACACGTAAAACATAAATACAAACCTACACGCAACAACACACACGTACACACAACAACACACGTACACACACACGCCTAACAGGCACGTGTGCGCACACGTGCGTCTGCGGCTTTGGACTAGACCAGGCATTAATCAGAGACCAACATATAATACGTCGCCGAATTTAACACGTCATGCGAATATGCATATTTCACAGGTTGCTTGTTTCAGGCAATTTTCTAAAATTATAGTTATCATCAGTCTCTCTCTACTCGCTTGTTTTTGTTCCTTTGTTTCTTTTCTTGCTGATACTGTTTTTGTTAGCGCAGTTGCTTCAGTTGTTGTTGTTGTTAGGATTGTTGTTGTTAGTGCTGTTGTTGTTGCTGTTGTTGTTAGTGTTGTTGTGTTTTTATTGTTGTTGTCGGTGGTGTTGTGGCTTTTGTTGTTATGATTACTGTTTATGTAGTTTCGTTTAGACATAGTAGTGGTATGTATTTAGGATGTTGGTTTATATCAATTAGCGATACTGCGTACTTTATCTTTATCAGAATTTTCATGCTGTCGGGCCTGTTCTATACGCATTGTTCTATGTGTTCCTGTTCTATATGCATTGTTTTTTGTTCATTTTAATTTACTACATGCATTTCTCAATTGAAAGTTGTTGATGACGTTGTTGTGAATGTGATATTGTTTCTAGTATATGTTGTTGTATAATGCAATTGATATGATGTCGTTAGTGTTGATATAGTTATTAACGTTGATGTTGTTGTTGTCAATGAGAGTATTGTTGAAATTATTGTTGTTGATGATGTTGTTGCTGGTAGGTTTTTATTGTGGTTGGTACTGTATCGCTTTTATTCCATGTTTTATTGATCAGCGCCATGTTTTTGTACTTCTGCTTTCATTGTGACAACATTTTTTTTATTCCTCCTTTTCTCCACCATCCTTCCAACGTTCCCCTCCACCCATTTCCATTTCAATTGATGATTGGCTCAATCTCACTATCCACTAAAAGTTTGCAAGTTTAACATTCTGAGTAAATTATGAACTGGGAAAAACTATTTTGCACAAACTTTATTATTAGAATTAATTTCCGTTTCAAAATGTTTGTGTCGGCAAAAATTTTTAAATGGAAACTTGTTTGGAATGAAAATTTGAATTGAACCATTTAGTAAAAATAACTATTTTTTTTCAAAAAACAAGTATGAAAATATAATTAAATTCAAATATACTTGCAATTTTATTTCATTTTACAAATTTGTAAGGTTAATTAGTTTAAATTGTTTCTTAAAATATTTTCTTAAGCAGCGATGACAGAAATGCATCAGCAATGCACAATGAAGTAAAATTTAATTTTTCAAAAAGACATCTGCAATTTTTAGATAGTTTTTATCTCCTTATCATAAATTTCGTAAGTTTAAAATTAAATTCAAACATTAATTTTTTTAAACTGAAGCAATGAAAATAAATTTTTCAAAACTTGGCAACAACGAAGCCAATGGAATTGATATAATATTGAAAGTTGTTACATAAATGATGACAAAAAACAAGGAAGCAGAAATGATGAATAGGAAGGGCATGAATGAACAATAGCAGCCAGGTAGAGCAGATGATTTAGGTCCCGTCACACAATGCACTCTTCTCTTTGGAGACAGCTCATAGACCACCAGCTGCATCTACCTGTGGCTACAATTTTACTTTTGAAGCGTCTGTTGAGTGCGATTAATGTTTTTTAACTTTTGATCGTGAATTGGTCGTTGATGAGTTTGGAGCATTGGAGTTTCACACTGAACTTTTTTTTTGATTTAGTTCTATTTTGAAAATTTTTTTATTTTCAAATGAAATTGGATCAAATCAAATATTAATTACTAATTTTCCAAGTTATTCTCAAAAATCGCAACATTCAATTATTTATCAGAACATATCAATTTTACAACGCCTGCTTCTGTTATCACAATCATCATTACACATGTATGTCACAATTTGTTGTTGCCTATATTTTTAAAACATCAACTTCAACTAGACCACAACAGCAACGAACAAAACAAAAACAACAACAAAATGTTACAAAAGCATGAAAAATTATAGAAATAGAAAATGCAGAGACAATGAAAGGTACATTAAACAGAAGACAATTAAAGACGCGTTGTTGCTTGTAAAGTGTTGCATGTAAGCGATGCTTAACATCACGCAATTTTTATTGTTTCAAAAGCACCAAGCAGGCATTGTTGAAACAAACAGACACACATGAATGTACACAAATACATGAATTTGTTTGCGAGGGTAAAATTAAGGACAAAAATTTTGCGTGCTGTACAATTCTTTGCATTGCATAAAATCTTTATACGAGTTTCAACGGAAATTTAATTGATATTTAAACCTTAAACCTTTTTTATGAACCACTCACAATACAAAGTCATTCATTATAACACCTAATCTCAAACACCAATGGTTTGTATTTATGTTTTATATATAGAATTATTATTAAAATATTGTCAGTTTAAACCGTAACTCAAATTTTTCCATTAAGTTTAAAATAAAAAAAAGTTTTTGGAAAATCTTCATGAAGGCAGACAGAGATCAAATGTTTATCGCACCATTTTCATAATTGTAAAATTGAATAGAGTGAACTATTCATTGGTTTGAACAAACTTTGCAGAAGCTTGTGCGTTTGGAGAAATTTATTTAAAATTCATATTAAGCAACAATTTTTAATTTCTTCTGTTATCAATTACAAATATGTATGTAACACAACTTCATTGTTGTGTGAAACCAATTAATTTCAGAAAACATTTTATGACAAAATGATTGCTATTGCACGCTTTTAAACAAAAGTATGTACATAATTACAAATAAAAACCATTCTTCATTATTAATCTCAGCTGAGATGTTGTACCACTCTTACAATGCCAGCTGAACGAAATTTCAGTTCTTGAAGAAGCTGCTTATATGAGTTGTTAGGCATCTTATTTAATGGTTCATTTTGAGAGTTCATGGGCAAAAAATCAATTTAGCAAGTAGACAGTAGAGTAAACATACACAAAATCAAGCGAGTTGGCGTAGAAACAAACAGAAATTTGGGTAGAAACAAGCAAGCAGACATTTGGGCGAAAAAAACAAGCAGACATTTGGGTAGAAACAAACAAGCAGACATTTGGGAAAAAAAATAAACAGACATTTGGGTAGAAACAAACAAGCAAACATTTGGGCAAGCAGGCAAACAAACGATTAGGTGCGTAGGCAGTGAAACAGAGAATCAGGCAATCGGGCTGGCAAGTAGGTTGCTAGATTGACTGACGGAAAAACAGACAAACAGGTGGGCAGACAGGCAGATAAATGGGCAGACAGGCAGATAAATGGGCAGACAGGCGGGCAGACAGGCAGATCTACAAAGAAGCACGCACCTCATTAAAAAGTACTTATGCTAACTTTCATGGACTAATTTCACATTCAAAACACATCTTTCTCACAATTACATCACTGCACTGCCCTGCCTCTTTGGTGCACTCCTCTTCTTACTCTCTCTTTTATTGTTCACGCATGCCGAGCACCTCATCTCCTTTAGTGCACAAATGTGTTTGTACGTACTGTGCATGTGCATATGCGTGCATACGTTTTTGTTTATGTGCATGCACATTTGTATGCTAATGTGCAGATATGTATGCTTGTGTGTACGCACTTTTCTATAAACTTTTGTATGTATGTACCTGTGAATGAGTGTATCATTCGTGTGTATGAGTGTATCATTCGTGTGTATGCGTGTATCATTCGTGTATATTAGTAAGGAACGTATGTACGCAGTATGCTGAAGGTCCAGCCAGACCACGGCACTTCACAGTGCATACACACAATGCGTTCGGGATGGGCTGGGAATTTGAACATGCGTATGCTTTTATGGTTTATACGATTGCTAGTTTTATGATCGTGGAAGTCTTGTTAGATTCATTATATATTTGTATGCATGGGTAAACCTGAAATGAAAAATAATTTATTTCTACTCTGTTTATTAGCGATCGTAAAGCAGAATAATTGAAATAACAAATATGCGGCTACATTGAATTTTGTTTCCAAATGAAGAGGGTTGTTCTTACAAAGTTGACAAAGACAATGCGAGGTAGCAACATCGAAAATATAATTTAATAATAATAATAAATTATATAAAAACACATTTAAATAAAAGCAGCAAGATGTAGCATCTATCTCAGTGGTCAGGAAATATTGCAAGCCATGAAATACATTATTTACACTGAATTGAAATAAAATATAGAGCTGGTGGAAAAAATAAGAAAAATAGGAAGAGATGCGAATTAATTTAATATGTATGAATACGTGTGTGCACCTTAAAACAATTCATTCCCTCCAGCAGAACAAACAAAAAAGCCTGGCACGCGAGCGAAATTACCGATAAATCTCAATAAAGGCGCCAAACAAAACCTTTGTGGTCAGCTAGGTAAGCATGTTAGGCTTATTCTTTGCTATACGTCTGTATTGCTCCTTTCTTCTCTTTATTTGGATGTTGTGCATATTTTATTTGTTTTGTTTTTATTTCTGTTTTCAATTCAACTCATGTTATTTTGAATGAGATGTCTTTATTTTGATTAATGAAATTCCTTTATAAGAGGCAAGACTCCTACGGAACTCTACATGAATTCAAAATATTTTACTTTTAAACAATAAATCGTTTATAACGATTAAAATATGTAACGAACTTTCTATAATATTTTTATATATCAAAAATATCCACAAATAATCCAGTTAGGGCAATGAGTTAGCGCCCTCACCAACTGTTAAGATTTGAATTTTTCTGGTACAATTATTTGTTAAGAAATGTATTATATATTCATTTAATTATCAAATCATTTGTTCATTCATTTATTTCAGCATTTATGAATCCAACAAGTTTAATGCAAACATAGGCACGATAACATAAGATGAGACTTTGGAGATTTTGAAGACGATGAAAATATTTTAATTCGTGCATTATGGAATTTTAAGTTTGTTATTCAGTCAGCATTTGCTCATTGCAAAGATGTATTTGACATTATTCCCACGGAAATATTTCACTACGCTTTTAAATTTGTGATGCGATTTTTTTAACTCTGAAAATTTATAACTTGAAATTTGAGTTTCCCGAAGTCTCTGATTGAAGAACTACGAATGTGGGTTACTGAATGAGAGCCTGAGTATCAAGTGTTACATGGATGCTTATATCATATAGGATACAAATAATGATATCGAATGTGATAGATACAAATAATGATATAAAATTTGTAATAAATATTGATATAATATAGGATGTTAATGATATAAAATGCGATAAAAATAATTCGAAATAACTTTTTCCACAGAAAGCAGAAATAAATATCTTCAGTAAACGTGTGAGTATTTTATTTCAAAGTTTCAATTTGGCAGTGGGGATCAGAGATAATGGCAGAGAAATAATTTAGTTTTCCTTTCAAAGTGATGGGGGGAAATTATAAAGATCGGATGGATGGATAACTAACAGGCAGGCGAAAGCAGATGATAACTTTTCCAGACACACACACACACACACACACACACACACACACACACACACACACACACACACACACACACACACACACACACACACAAACAAACATACACAAAAACGTGGGCATTAACAAACACACATAATTATGTATATATGTATTATGTATATGCATATACATGTATATATTTATATAATTTCTTGAATTTCATAAAATACTCCATTAATTATGGTCTTTTACCAATATATATATAAGAAGATGAAAAATACGTAATCAACTCAGTAACTCACTTTGCTAAGTAACTAACTTTGCTTTGTGTAAAGAAACCGTATAAACCAAACCTGCACTGAGGATGATTTGTGAAAAATTGAGATAAGGTCTGACCTATCTGCAAGGTGAATTTGGATAACCACAGTTTCACTGAATTTTTATGATTAATTCTATTTTCAATAAATTGAGCAAAAATTTTCAGAAAATTCTAATAAAGAAAATTGAAACTTTAAATTGATTAATGTCAACAATTTGGTAGAATTTCTAAACCGTTGTGTAAATATATAACTTAGTGGAAAAAAAAATATAAACATATTTTGCGGTGACATTATTCAGCAGTTTCAAACAAAATAATAATTAAAATAAAAACAGTTAAAAGAATAATGCTAAAAAGCAGCACTGTTAAAACAACATAAAACTTAGTCACCTGAGAAGATGTAGATGTAGGTGTGGCAGCTGACATCATAACGAGATACGACACATAGAGGCTTATGTGTGGAACAAACAAAACACATGAATTGCACATTCGAATGTAAATCAGTCTTAGAAAATTTTTCATATTAAAAATCTAATTCAATTGTTTAACATACATACAACTTATTCAAAAATAAATAAAAACCACATTGACATAATGGTTGAAACCAAAGCGGAGCAAGTCAAACAATCTGACGGAATAATGAAGAACACGGAAAGATGCATATACTACAGAAACTTTCAACAACGCCACATCATAATTTGTTTTGGTTGTAATTACGATTCTACATGAAATGAACACGTTCAACTAAAAAATGTAGAACTAAGTTTTTATCACTTCGACAGTTCAAATATTATCCTAACCGTATATCACAAAGATTACCAATTTCTAACGCTATTCGAAAGGCATTTTTAAAAGTACAAGTCTGTAAGACGCAAAAGTTTGTATCATTACATACAACAATAATTTGTTAATAAATAGTTAACCGCCCACAGTAACAGCAGACAAACATACAAGCATGCAAGACATCACATCTAAATTCAACACACAAGCATAATAACACAACCAACACCAACACACACACACATACATACAGAAAGATAAAGACAGGCAGAACAACTTGCAGACAAAAGGCAAACAAGGAAGAAGAGCTCCCACAATTTGCGCATAATTTATTATTAAAAGCGTTTTATGTATGCGCTATCCCCTTGCCACATGTATGCCTTCATTACTTCAACATCATCCTCATCATTCTCAGTGTCGTCATTTTCCCTCTTACCTCCTTTTAGTTATTTCGTTTTTCATAATGTGCGAATGTACTTCTGCATGTTCGTATATACGTGTGTAATTTGTACACATGTGTGTGTTCTTTCGTTCTATTGTAGTGTACGTACGCATGCAACCATGCATTGAGGCATGGGTGCATGCGCGTATTTATATTTGTTTTTTATGCATGAATTTTGCTGAATGGGCTTGATAATTCTTTCTTGGCCCAACGATAAATACGTTTTTAAGTTGTATACAAGAAATATTAAAAAAGTAATTAGTGAAAGTAATGGTTTGTTGTATAAACGTGTGTACGTGTTTAGGCGTGTGTACAGGAGTGTGTGAGTAAGTACGTGAACGATTGTGTGTGCACAAATATGTATGTGTGTTTGTGTATGATTGTCTGCATGTCCGTTGTACGTGTACATACAATTGCGTATTGCTTGTGTTCGAGTGTGCAAAACGTATGCGTGCGTGCAATTGTGTGTCCGCTAGTGTGTGGTGCAGGTGCGTGCGTGCGTGTTCAACGTGACGTTTGCGACGATGCCAAGTGCATAAGACATGATTGAGCTCAAGTAGACTGAAGTGTCAACGCTTGTGGACTTGCACAAAATACAAACGTACAACATTGTACAAACAAGTACAACATTGTACATGAACGTACGGCATTGCAAATACACTTTATGGTAAAATAAAAAGAAATGAAAGCCATGTATTCAAGAGTAAAATGAAATAAGCATGAATGCAATTACTAAAAACTAACAAAGTCATAAACGCAGTATCAACCTACAAACAGTAAAGATGTTTACTTTCTTTACTGCATGAAAACTCCAAACAAGTTTTTATTCATTCATTCATTCGTTCGTTCGTTCGTTCGTTCGTTCGTTAATTCATTCGTTCGTTCGTTCGTTCGTCCGTCCGTCCGTCCGTCCGTCCATTCATCCATCCATCCATCCATCCATCCATCCATTCATTCATTCATCCATCCATTCATGCACTTTTGTGTTTTCAGTTGAGTAGAAAGTGGTCCTGCCGACAAACTTGTCTCGAGAAACCAATACAAAAATAAACATCATGGCCGCATTTGCCGAGAAAAGGTGAACACATATTTACGTGGAAGGCTGTAAATCATTATTTGTTGATGTTGTTGTTGTTGTTGTGTGTACGGAGCATTGTTGCACGCGATTGTACACTTTTTTTGTACAACCGATGTCTTGTCTCTGTGTGTTTAATGTTTTGCATACGTTTAAAAGTCACATTTCCCCCTCTTCTGTGAGATAACCACGTGTATGTACACACACTCGACTCATTTCTGCCGTTTGCCAGCATTTAAGGACGGATGTGTTGTTATGAACATAAGTGTGAGCAGAGTATATACATTAGCGTTATATTGTATATAAATTAATATATATAAATATATATTCTGCATGTGTGTTTGTGTGTGTGCGTGCACATACGTTTGTGGGGTTGTTAGTAGCGGTTCAAAATATAATTCAAAAATTGAAAAATTGTGAAACAAATTTAAATTTTCGACAAAAACCATCAGCAGCAAATAAATGTACGTCGATAATTGAATGTGGATGTAAATTAACCGAATAAATTAGGTGAGTAAATATTTCTTCTGATGTCGCACATGTATGTATATCGAACACATATATGTGTTTGTATGTAAATGTGTTTGTGTGTATGTGTGAGTGTGTGTACCTGTGTGTGTATATGCGTGTATGAGTTTGTCTGTGTGTTTGTATCTAAGTGATCTATTTTCGAATAGTTGACGAGAAATACTTTTACAACGTCTCACCATCCAGCATCAGCAGCAGCAGCAGCAGCATCATTTGATGTTACGTAAAAATTGCATGTATTTTGTTTTCTGAACGATGGCTGCTGCATTGTGCCGATGTGAAACAACTCATAAAGTTTTGCCAACCGACAGTAAGAAATAAAAAATCAACTGAACTGCATTTGAGTTTGCCGAAACATGTACAAAGGGCTTCAAAAATCTTCAAATTTACGTACAACAAATATTTTCTCCAAGTTCTTGAACAAATATTTTCTCCAAGTTCTTGAACAAATATTTTCTCCAAGTTCTTGAACAAATATTTTCTCCAAGTTCTCGATATATATTTTGTATCACAAATAATCTTTCACATTTGTTGAGCTCTAACATGAAATCTAAATGCACATTTTCGTTTATGTGCGAATCAACTTCGAATGCACTTGTTCACGATCGTGTGTGTGTGGTTGGACGCATAGTTGTGCGTCTTCTTCTACGTCTTCTTGTACGTATGCTTGTAAGTGTGCCGGTACGCATGCACTCCTTTCTACTTGGGTACATTTAAATATCTCATGTCAGATAGCTTTTATCTCGTAACCTTTATTACAGTTATTGCATTGTTGTCATCATCGGTGAAGTCATTGTGTCTATCATCATTAACATCATCGTCGCCATCGTCGTCTTTTTGCTTGTCATCATTTTCCGATGACAATGCAAATTATAGTCACCCACTCATTATCATCACTGCACTGCTCATCTCACTGCAACTAAAATCTCATCCTAACATTTTGTTACCAGAAATATTTGTCATAAAACGAACTATTTTTTAAACCATGTTAGAATTATTAATTAGGGATTCAGCGTATGAAATTGAAATATTTCAAAAATTTATTTTAAAAAAATTTGAAATCACGGTACACATTATAATAGTGATCATGTGATCATGAGATGAATTGATGAACGACGGATGTTTTGAGGTGGTTAGGATGATGATAGTGATTGTGATAACGTCTGATGTAATTTGTCCATTTGTAATTTTATTTAGTATTGGTTTCATAAATAATGATGATGATAATGTTTGATAATGATGATGTTTCATAATGATAAGATGATAATGATGATGATGAGGATGATGATGTTTTATAATGATGATGGTGATGAAGATTGTGAATATGGTGATGATAATGATTACGATGAAGAGTATGATGACGACGACGATGATGACAATAAATAATTATGCTCAAACATTCATTGCGAAACATCGTCATCATCATCGTCGTCTTCGTCATCATCGCCGCAAATTTGAAAGTACGACAAAACGTTCTACGAATAATTGCGGACATTAAAATGTCGAAATGATCTTCGCGTTGCTTTGTTGTTGTTGTTGTTCTTGCTTGTTGTTGTGCTGTTACTGTTGTTGTCATGTTGTTGTAATTGGTTGTCACGATGTTGTTTTTTTGGGCATGTTGTTGTTCTGTTATGGTATATGTTGTTGTTTCTTGCTATTGGTGTATTTTTGTTGGTTTTTATAAGCTGTAGTGGTTTTTGTGGAAAGTTTTGGTTTTGTCACTTGTGTGGTTTAACTTATGTTGTATCGTTTTAACGTTACGTTTTGTTATTGTGATTAATTGTGGTTTTGTTGTTGTCCTATGTGCAGCCGACTACACTAATAATAATTATGTAATTATTATTATGAAGCTACTGGGGATGTTGTATTGTGCCGTGTTCCAATATTTTCTGAGTTGTTATATATAACATAAAATTACAACCATAGTTTTTCGCTTCCAAATATAAGCCTTCCTTGTCTACTTCCTGTTGTTTTTTTTTAATTTTTTGCTAAATTTTTTAAACATGAAAAATAATTTGTTTGTTTTGGATATGAACATCTGCAGAGGAACAATTTATTATCATTTCATTCATTCATTTATTAGGCAACTATTTTTATTTGTTTAAATACATTTTTCCAATTTTTTTCGGTATATTCATAAGTTTGCTCTTATTTGTACTTATTACATGGGTCAACAGAAAAAAAGTCCAAGGTCTTTTAGCTGATTATAGTCAATTCACACATGCTAAATGCAAAAATTAAGTTGGTTTTGGTAGTTTAGTTCAAATTTTCATTTTATAACGAAATGTTTATTTTTTACTGTTTTATGTAAAATTTAGTATAACCATATACTGCAGCCGTTGCTTCAGTTATAATGTATAATTACAATTATTTGCTAGGTATTATTTAATGTTTGATTTATCACAATAATGAAAGGTTGTCATAATTGTTGCTTTATGGACATAGTTTTCATTTTTTTGGTATTTTAGCAAAGTACGGTTAACTACACTAAACAAATTTTTACTTCCTAAAAACCCTAGCTCGTTTTTACAGCATCTCTTTAGAGTCCAACAATAATCCGCCATCATCACTGAATCCAATCTTCCTTCATGCCTGATATTAATTCCACGCATGTCCTTGTCGAACCTCCCTTTCCCAGTTCGTTGCTCATCGAGTTCTCATAAAAATGTTTTTTGATAAGCTGTATTATGAAAAATCAAGCGATAAAGGATGCAAAACATCCAACTGTCCTTATTTGAAATCAAGTTTGCGTAAAAAATTGACCAACTCTGGAGAAGCAATCATCATTTTCGAACTCAGTGACGTCAAACTATTCTAAATTAGTTGAGATAACCTAGACCTCTAGACTTTTTTCCGAAAAATTTTTTTATAGGGTTGTGTTGTTATTATTTTATTGATAATATTATTACTACTACTACTATGATATTGTTGTCTTTCTAATGATCAGTAAGTGTATTAATATTAGTAAAATTTTTTGTTATAATAATAATATAAAACAATCAAAATTATGTATTAATAATAATAACACTAACAATAATAATAATTAATATGCAAAAAATTATTATTATTATTATACATTTTCATGGCCCGAAGTTTCTTTTTAGTTTTTTTTAGAATAGAATTGTGCGCTAAAATATGGGAGACAATTGTCAAGAAAGCGATCGATATTGTACTGAGATGAATGCAACACATCATTATCCTCATCATCATTGTCATCGTCTTTTTCATCATCACCATTGTCATCATCAGCTTTATCATCCTCTTCATCATCGTCGATATCGGCTTCTTCTTCTTCTTCTTCTTCTTCTTCTTCTTCTTCTTCTTCTTCTTCATCTTTTTCTTCTTCATCGTCATTACCAGCTTCTTCATCATCATTGTCATCATTGTCATCCTCGTTGTTTCACATTATCTTCGTCATACAATTTAATGATGTTTTTGATGAAATAATTACAATTGCATTTTTCATATTCTTACTCACAACGTTTTCCTATTTGTCATTCTCTCTTTCTCTCTCTCTCTTTCTTTTTTTCTCTCTTTTTATCTCTTTCTCTCTCTTTCTCTCTCTTTTTCTTTTTCTTGTCGCCATTTTTTCTCGTTACCTTTTTCACGCTCATGCTACTTAACACATACGTAAATGAATTTACTAAACACATTTTAAAAATATATGCAATGTATATATGTATGTATGTTTGTCTGTATGTATGTTTGTCTGTATGTATGTATGTGTGTGTGTATGTATGTATGTGTGTATGTATGTATGTGTGTGTATGTATGTATGTATGTATGTATGAATGTATGGATGGATGGATGGATGAATGGATGGATGGTTGGATGGATGTATGTGTGTATAAATGCCAGTACATATGTGATAGTAGTTTGTAGAATGTTTATAAGGTTAATCGCGCGTTGGAAGTTGAAAATATCTATGGATAGTTATTACGTTGTTACTAATCTTCCATTGCACGGGAGCTTATACGCATAGTTTGAGAACATTTGAAGATCATTCTCATATCGCTTCTATTTTTATTGCATCACAGCTCCAACATAACTGTTCCTCTGTCATTTTTTCTTCCTGTTCAGTCATGGATGGCTTAAAAAACGATATGAAAATGTCATCTCAACGCCAAAAGTCATATAACTGGCGATATAAAAATATTAACATTCTTGAAAGTTAAAGAAACATAAAGAAACATATTGAAATTTTTCTGAAGTGAAAAGAAAAGAAGAATTATAGAAATGTCTATTAGATGTCTCTGAAAAACTTAGGCCTGAATACTTTGAATGAAATAATTGCTAATTTTGACCTCAAAAGCACTTGAAAATAAAAAAAAAATTAATTCTCTCAAACACAAATTATACGAACAAGATTATTTCAATAATTATAATAATTATAGATACACATACAAACATCAGTAAGGTATGACTTCCTGGGTGATCTGATTTTAAATAATTGAATCCTCCGTCATTTTCTTAAAAACAAATAGAAGAGATATTATTAAAATGGAAGCAATCCAACAAATTATCATGTAAAAAGTAATCTTGCGTTGTTCCGGTGGCAAAAATATAAATTATTCAGACCCCATTTCTCAGTGCTCGTCACATTCAATCGCCATTTAATATTTAAAATCATCTTGGTCGTGGGCATGTATCTTGATAATGAAGTCATGTTGTATCATTTGCTTTCTTGAATATTTTTGTTTTTAAAGTTTTTTTTCTCATAACGACACAATTTAATTTAGAATCAATTCTACATGGAGAGTAATTAATGTATGCATTAACCTAAAAATAATTCCAGATAGAAGGTCTACTTATTTAGACAAACATTGTAATTATGAAATTTAATTGCAGAGGATTTTTTTTATGAAGATTTAAAAAATATTTTTGTTTTTAATTCAACTGATCGCAAATGTACAAGTTTTCTTTTCAAAATATATAAAAGTCCGTTAGAAACATAAGAACCTAAGAAATGGTGACGCAATTGAAAATGTATATATTCAAATTTATTATTGTAACCTGACTAACAACATTAATTTTTCAATGTATTGAAGTTAAACAAGTCTTAATCTGGTTTGTTCATTCTTCGATTAGTAACTCAAAATTCATTGTTAATGATTAAAATGATAAGAATGATGATGGTGAATATTTACGCTGTATAATAAAATAATAATTGCAAGAGGTCTTTAGCTGCAATGTGAACGACATCATGAAGAAAG